CCGTAATGATCCAGAGGATATTTGTGAAGTTTTCCTAAGGGAAGAGAGGGACAATGCCCTCAGTATGTCATCTATAAACCATAAACCAGGGGCGTTAGCCCAAGTCAGCGACTTTGATCTGAGTTCTCATGGAGTAAGACAGGGAGGCTTCTCACTTCCACCCTGTACACACACTTCCGCAGTTGTTCCTCTTGTATCTGTTTTATCAATACTGGGATTTTGCGTAAGATGTAGAGTTTGAAAAGCACTAGCCTGGGTGATGAGCAAGTCCTTCCTGCTCTGGCATCTCGGGAGGCTCTGACTACCCAGGGAGCTGGGATCCCACAGTGGATATGGGCTTTGGCTTTGGTCAATGAGACGAGCGTGGAAAGTGTGTCCTGCTGAGGCTCAGAAAAGCAGCAAGCGACGCAGGGCCAGGAGGGGAGGGAAAGGGGAGTGCTGCACTGGGAACCTTCGCAGAGCTCCATGACCCAAAAGGGATGGGAGAGAGAAGACAGGGAATGAGGAGAACCAATATGGGAAATAAACTGAACTGGCAGAATTCAGGGTCCAACAGCCGGATGCTTCACAGTTGAAGATGACTCTCCCTTCCTCCTCCTGCTCCCCACAATTATTTGCAATTCTGCTCCCTTCCCCCCATCCCCCCCACCCCGCCATGCAAAGCTCTTTTGTGTTTCTCCTTCACTGCTGCAGCCTCACCTCCCAGGTGGCATTGCTGATTGGCAGCAGCAGAGGTAGAACTCATCAAAGCCATCTCTGAACCAAAAATAGCCCGTCCAGCCGGATACTTCCCAACCTTCCATGCCAAAGTGCTTATTCTCATTTGTCAAAGTTGGCATATCCACCTGACGGCTCGCAAAGGTCCGAGGCTGAAAACAGAAAGGATCAGCCCTGCATTCCTAAACCCTGACATGAGCAAATGATGACTTTGGGATATTATGACTTGTATCGTGTAAGTTACTTACTAAATTGTCTAATCTGGTTGATTTTAATGGGAGGGATCATATGGTAGTTACATCAAGGGTCTGAAGTCAGACAGTCTGGGTGCAAATTGCAGAATCATCCCTTACTTGTTGTGCCACCTCAGGCCAGTTCTCTCTGAGCCTCAGTTTCTTCTCTTGTAAACATGCTCACCTCATAGTTAAAACAGATTGATGTGATGTCTATAAGCACTTAATGTGTGGCAGTGAGTGCTTGTTACATGTTGGATGTTATTGTTGGGACTGTCATTCCCCAGTCATAGAAAACCCCTATTATAACACACATCAGATTATACCGAATGGCCCACTATCCTGTCAGTCTTTACAGATCATCTTGTGTCTCTAGCACAGCATCTGGCACATAGTAGGCACTTCAACATACGTGTTCAATGAATGGATGACACCATGGAATATAAACTTCATGCAAGCACAGATATTTGTCTGTTTTATTCATTGCTATTCCCCCAACACCTAGAAGAGTGCCAGAGTCTAGTGCGTCCTGAATAAATATTTGCAGCCTGTGAAATGAACTGTGAATTAACGGAGCTTCACTAACAGGCAAATCCAGAGCTTGTTTCTAACCATTGGTTAACTGGCTGGGAGTCTTCCTGCATATTTCTGAATTCCCAACCCTGAACAACGCTCCTTTCCAAAGCTTGCTTCTCTTTGAAGAACAGAAAGGAAGTGATTGCCCATTATCCCTTTGTACCCAGTTTCTGCCCATGAGATGGCACGTCGTTCTAATCCAAAGTTGAAAGCTGTGTCTGCATAGACTTTTGGATCTTAGAGCTGAGAGAAGCTTCACAATTCTCTGGGTGCAGCCCTGCTGTCTTCAGTCTGGGTATCAGATGGATTTTGCAAGCTAGACACCTGAGAACCAGGGGGATTAATAGACGTGTATGGGGTTGCACAGCTGCCGGCAGGTGAGTGAGTCTAGTGGGTGATAGAAGTCCTGTTTTAAAGGTGGAAAGTCCTTCCTTCTCAGCTGGATCGGAATCTCAGCCCTCTGAATTCCCAGGTTGGTGCCTCCGCGATGCCATGCTGCCCCAGGGAAAAGGAAACAAAGCTTTGTTCTCTTTCTTTAGTTGTGATTCACACCACTTCCCACTTATTAATGTGGCTGGTTCCTGTGTACCAGATTCTGACCAGTATGTTCGCAATAGTATCTCATTCATTCGCTCCATCACCACCGATGATGTCGGTGTTACTAGTTCCACCACACAATTGAGGAACTGACTCAGAGAGGCTAAGAGACACTCAAGGCCATGCAGTGGGGACGTAGGAGCTGGGGTTCCCACCCAGCCACTGGGCTCATGATCACCAGACCCTCCTATTAACTACGTTGGCCACATATGGCAAGGGCGCAGTGTGACACGTTGAAAAGTCTTTCAGTGCTCTGATGACACCAGAACTGTGTCTAGTTGGTATTAAGGCAGGTGGTGAATTCCATGGGGGAAAAATCAGCCATTCAGTGAATAATCGTTGATTTAATCAAATTGGAAATGAAGAATTATAAAGATAAAGCAACAACTTGTCTGTCCTCTTATGAGTCATTGTTTGTGGTCTTGCTCTTCTCTCTCCATCCCTCTTCTAATTCTTCATTCAGGAAACAGTTCAGTGCCTACTGAGTGCCAGGCACCGGTGGATGGGAAAAGTATACAGGCTACTGTCAGTTTCTAACCTACTTTTGTTGTTGGAAAGACCAGAACCATTTTTTTTTTCCAGAACAGTGTGATACTAATTAATTCAAATACTTTATCTGAGCCGGTTTAACCTAATGTTCCTCCTGACTAACTCAAATCTGTATCCTCTTCCCACTTCCCCAGGGACCAAACTCACCTGTCAGTTGAATGAAACTGAAAAGGGGGCCACAGGAAGACAGGAGGAGATGTTTAATATTAATCAGGCTATACTGACTGTAATTTTGAACCCCACAATACCTTACTATTATTAATTCTTTAGTCTTGCATAATTTACAGAGTCCTGTGAACGATTTCTATTAATATTCGCAACAGCCCTATGTGGTAGAGTGCGTAGGTGTTAGTATCCTGGTTCACACAAGGGGAAGCTGAGGGTAGGAGAGGCGAAGTATCTTGCCCTAAGTTACCAGATAAGTGGCAGTTGGGGCGAATGTTTGATTCCACTCCAGTGCTCTTTCTGGGCACATTGTTAGTGCTCAAATGTCTTGAGGACCTGGATTGAGTATTCCAGGGTTGGGGCGTCTCATCTGGAGACTAATGAGGACATAGAGGTTGACTCAGCCTTGGGCATAATCCAACCAACCCAAGGAATATGTTATATTGGGGGACATAATCCCCCAACTCTTGGACATATGGAGTTGTTCTGTCCCTTGTAGCCTCCGAGGCCCGTTATGAAACCTTACGGCTGACCCTGGCCCCGACCCTCCTATCAGTCATCATCAGAGTGGACAGTGCTTCTCAAGAGCCACCCAGAGCATTTTAGCTAATTAGATCATTAATTTTTAAGAGACAGAGTCTCTCTGTATTGTTCAGGCTGGAGTGCAGTGGCTATTCACGGGCATAATCATAGTACTGTATAGCCTCGGATTCCTGAACTCAAGGCATCCTCCTGCCTCAGCCTCCAAAATAGCTGGGACTACAGGGGCATGCCACTTTTCAGAGCATTTTGATCTGGATCTCAGATGCTGCTACTCAAAGGTTAGGAAGTCTGTGGAATGTCCACTCCAAAGGAGAGGAGGTTTGGATTATCTGCACTTTTGCTAGTTCTACAGAACATAGCCCCTTAGTCAGCATCCCATTGGCCCAGAAAGAAGGGGGCCACCGTCCTGGACTCCTTGCACCTTTCCCCATAGAGAGCCTTTCTGGAGGAACCTGTGGCCCAGCCCCATCAAGCTCTTTCTGAAGGAAAATACAAGTGCAGAGGCTCAAGCCCCGTGTGCTCAGCTGTCAGTCTGTTCCGCTCCCACCCAAAAGAGGTCGTCCCGTGTTGTGCCAGGTTCTTGAAGAGATGAGGCCTGCCCCGTGAGTGTCATGCCTCTAGACAGATTTCCTTCCGTTTGTGTTTTTACTCTGCTGAAAGTTTTCCACTGAAAGGATGGTCACAATCAAAATCTTCATGTATTCTGCTCACAGGTCCTCTGTTATGGATCTTAATCACTCATCATGTTTTCTTAAAAATCTCATTTTAAGGAAAGGAGAAGTGGGAGGTTATTGATTGTACATCGTATATCAAAGGAAGCTTCAGTGTGTTTTCATTTGGGTGAAGCGATGGGAAGCATGTGTTGATGCAATAGTGCCCAAGAAACAGGGAGCTTGCGTGTGTGCATACACGTGTGTGTGCCTGTGTGTGTGTGTTGCATGTGTGTGTGCCTATATCAACTCAGCAGAACTATCAGAAATTGGATGCATGCCATAGCTTCTGAGTTTGGGTTGAGTTTTGATAGATAATATTTGCAGACTCTCATGTAGGCAATTCTAACATCTTCATAGACTCCAGCCTCCTTATCCATGGAAGCCCCATCCTGTGTCACATTCAAACACAAACCATTACCTTTATATTTCTAGCTAGAAAAAAAATTGGAATGATTTTGCTTTTGTGGGATGTTTTTTGCTGTGTTGATATCATACTTATTTTATGAGGGCTCTGATTTCTCTGCCATTATCTTGTATCCTCAGGAATTCTTGCAAAATGAGAAACATCTAACCAGCCTTTTTTTCCTCCAATGAAATTGTTGTGAATATTGAAGTCAACAATTCCTGATGTTGTCTTCACATTAAGCCTGTTAACCACTTAATTACACAGTTATTAATTCTGACTTTGCAGTTTTCTTTTCATGTGTTAGAGCTGATAATTTTTAAGGTGTTGGGTATTTTCTCGGGCTCAAGAAGGCTCAAGACGGCCCAAGAACTGAGTTGCTTAGTGGAGGAAAAATGGTCTTGTGCTTTTGACATAAAGAAACCCAGGTCAGACTGGTCTCAGAAAGGTCACTCTGAGAGTTTCATTCACTGACTGAGGCATCTCACACGTATTCAGATGCCTACACACTCACACTGTGCAGTGGTACGCAGTTGTTAACAATAAATAGAATGTAGTGCAAAATTTAAATAAAACCAAACAGTGAGCCCTCTCCTGCCTCTTCCCCCTTCCCTGTAGATGATACTGTGTGTTGTCTAGGAATCTGGTTAGGAAGATGTTTGGGTTCAGAGGTCTGGAGGTGGGGAAGGGAACAACAGTTGGTGCCGGCAATGTGACTCCTCGTTTTTTTCAGTTCTCTGGTCCCTTTTCCTGCAGCCCCATGAAGCATCCATGCAACCCTTGGGGAGTTGATTAAGTGGCCAACCATTCCAATTTAGAGAGAAGAAAAAAAATGAGCACCAGGCAGGAATAAACAAACAAACAAACCCTCCTGGGAAATTCACCAGAGATCTCCCAGGATGGAGCCCTTTTCTAGCTAAGTCACTCTACAATCTGCATGTCCCCAGGTATGTTTTCCAAAATTTGCCAAATGCTTACAAAAATTAGGAATTTGATGAAGAGAAACAGAAGGGCAGTGTGAGTGCCTGTTCTTGGCCAGGCTGGTGCTGGAGAGACAAAAATGAATACAATGCAGTTGGTGCCCTTGAGAAGCTCACACCATTACTCAGTTCTAGGATGATGTGAGCCATAATGCAGGCTGTAGACAGCGGGCCGTGGGAAGGGCTGGGCACAGGCTCCAAGCCTTGTCACAGGTTGCTGGGAGCTCTGTGAGCAGAAGAGCCAAGGATGCGCTGTTAGCACATGCCGGAGTGCCGTCATCTGCGATAGCTGGGCCACGCCAAGCTGCAGGTGCGGACCCAGATTGAGTAACCATGGCTTTGCTCCTGACATGCTGTGCTCCCTCCATCCCTGTTCTTCTATGCCAGTGTAGTGGGGACTTATGAAGCACCTACCTTGTGGCAGGCTTTGTACCAGGAGCTGAGGGTCAATCTGGAGCCAGGGAGTTGGCAGTGAAAGAGAATGCCACTGCCCCAGCCCCGTGAGTCTGTCCAGGAAATATAGACATTGACCAAGTCAGTGCAAGACTGAGGGGATAAGAAGAAGGGCGTGCAGGGTTCCACCGGCCTCAGTTTCTTCAGCTGTTAAATGAGGGAGGGAGTTGGGCTGTCGGCGGTTATCAGACTTAATAGTGATCCCTTTGTTTGTTGTGCAGTCTTTCTGGGAAACTCAATATATGAAACATTAAAAAGCAGAATTGTTTGGGTCTGATCAGCATAGGTGGATGCCACTGCCTGATGGAACCCAGTTTGAAAACCAGTGGATGAAATGATCCCAAAGGAGCTGGTATAGTTTGAATATTTGTCCCTGCCCACATCCCTTGTTGAATCGTAATCCCCAGTGTTGGAGGTGGGCCTGGTGGGGGGTGTTTGGATACCTCATGGTTTGGTGCTGTCTTCGCCACAGCGAGTTCTCGTGAGATCTGGCCTTTTAAAAGGGTGTGGCACCTCCCCCTCTCCCTGCACCCCACCATCTTGCTTGCCTCTGCTTTTGCCATGTAGTGTGGCTGCTCCCCCTTCACCTTCTGCCATGATTGGGAGTTTTCTGAGGCCTCCCCAGAAGCTAAGCAATGGCAGCATCATGCATTGATTCTACAGCCTACAGAACCATGAGGCAATTACACCTCTTTTCTTTATAAATTGGCCAGTCTCATGTATTTATTAATAACAGTGCAAGAACAGCCTAATAAGGGAGACTTTCAGGAGACTAAGCTGTCCTAGAATTTTGTCACTTCTTGGTGACAGGCCCCTTCCTTTCTAAGTCACTGTGATCCTGTGTCTGGAATCCTGAGTTTTCTGTTGGGTCCAGGGCTAGCATCCTTCTTTGCAGATGGATGCCAGATATTTATTTATTTATTTGTTTGTTTGTTTATTTATTTATTTTTTTGAGACGGAGTTTCGCTCTTGTTACCCAGGCTGGAGTGCAACGGCGCGATCTCGGCTTACCGCAACCTCCGCCTCCTGGGTTCAGGCAATTCTCCTGCCTCAGCCTCCTGAGTAGCTGGGACTACAGGCACGCACCATCATGCCCAGCTAATTTTTTGTAGTTTTAGTAGAGACAGGGTTTCACCATGTTGACCAGGATGGTCTCGATCTCTTGACCTCGTGATCCACCCGCCTCGGCCTCCCAAAGTGCTGGGATTACAGGCTTGAGCCACCACGCCCGGCCGATGCCAGATTTATATTCCTAATTTTTTGGGGAGTAGGGGAGGGAGGGGCATGAATGCTGAAGCTTCCACCTAAGCAGCTCCCCAGAGGATGGGGAGAAGGAAAGGGAGAAGAGAGCTGAGGTGTATTTGGCTTGCTCTATCCTTCTGGCTGTCCAGAGTGGCTCCCAGCTGGAAGGACCATGGTGGTGCAGTTGTCACTGTTACCCCATCTCCCACACTGGCCAGAGCTGCCCTGCTTCATCCCCATGGTCAACCTTCTTACTGTCATCTAAGTTGATCCCTCCTGACACCCCAGATCAGCCCTTCTCTGATATTATTGCCCTATTGACTGCAGGGTCAAGTCCAAGCTCCTCATCCTGGTACCCCCTAATTCCACCTCAGGGGAACCTCTGCTCCTCCCAGGCAAAGCATCCATTCTCCCCATGAACACTTTCATTCCTAATTCCAAGCTTCTACTCAAGTCATTTGCCCACCTGGAATGGCTCCTCTGTTCCCTTGCTATCAGCTTCACTGCTGTAAATCAAGCCCTCCATCTTTCTTGGGGCTGCTCACATCTGAGCAAACTTTTCCTCCTTTGAACCCCTGTAGGCTTGCTGTCTGTAATACAGCTTGGGCAGTGGGTCATGTATGTTCTTTTTCTGTGGGAAGTGTTTAGCTATGGCTATGAGCTGCCTCTCCATTGGACTGTAAGCTCTTCTAGGGCAGGGTTTGAATCTTCCATTTCTTTTATTTAAAAATTTTTATTTTTAGAGGCAAGTTCTCACTCTGTCACCAGGCTGGAGTGCAGGGGCATGATCATGGCTCACTGCAGCCTTCAGCCCCCAGGCCTAAGGGATCCGCCCATCTCAGCCTCCCAAGTAGCTGGGACCACAGGTGTACACCACCACAGCTGGCTGATTTATTTTTATTTTTATTTTTTTATTTATAGAAATAGGGTCTCTCTATGTGGCTCAGGCCAGTCTCAAACTCTTGGGCTCAAGCAGTCCTCCTGTCTTGGCCTCCCAACATGTTGGGATTACAGACATGAGCCACCACGCTCAACCTCTTCCAGTTATTTTGTATATGCTTCCTGTTCTCTACTCAGTGAAGATACTTCTTGGTCAATACTCCCTCAGTTAGAGCACAAACCCATGTATTCACTTAGAGTGTTGTGATTGCGAAAGGTGGCTGGAGGCGAATGTTCCATATTTGACCAATAATAACATTTTATTTGAAAGTACTGGCCAATCTTATGCCACAACACATTTGGCTGCCAGTGTCAGAGACCAAACTAACAATAGCTTAAACAAGGTAGGGAGCTGGTTTTTTCTTTTATAACAGTCCAAGGCAGGTAGGCAGTCCAAAGCTGGGATGGTAATTATGTTAGTCTGTTTTCACACTGGTTTTAAGAAATGCCCGAGACTGAGGAATTTATAAAGGAAAGAGATTTAATTGACTTATAGTTCTGCATGGCTGGGGAGGCCTCAGGAACTTCCAATCATGGCAGAAGACAAAGGGGAAGCAGGCACCTCACAAGGCGGCAGGAGGGAGGGAGAAATGTGAGCGCAGGAAAAACGGCCACTTTTAAAATCATCAGATCTTGTGAGAATTCATTCACTATCATGAGAACAGCATGGGGAGAAACCATCCCCATGATCCAATCACCTCCCAACAGGTCTCTCCCTTCACTCCTGAGGATTACAATTTGGATTAGAATTCAAGAGAGATTCGGGTGGGGACACAGAGCCAAACCTCATCTATAGTTCTACATCAACTCAGGCTCCTTCTGTCTTTCTGCCCTGCCAGCCTTAGCACATGGTTTCCAGTCTCAAGGTAGCCTCATGGTCCCAAGATGGCTGCTACAGCTTCAATCATCACTTGTGCATTTTAAGCAGAACAAAGAGTGACAAAGGGTGGGAAAAAGGATACCTACCAGTGGAGTCAGTCTTTCTTTTAAGCAGTGTCACTGGATGTCTACCTAATAATTCTTCTTATATCTCTTTGGCCAGCACTTAGTCCTCCAGCAACCATATCCCCAAGGGAGGCTAAGAAGCTTAGTTCTTTAGCCACACACAGTGTTCTCACCACTACTACCCAATCAAGTTAGCGAAGAAGTGGGAGAGAAGGGAAATTGGTTAAGTCGCCAACCAATAGTGCTTACTGTAGCTGGTTAATGGACCTATTGTGTTTCAGACAGAGTAGGTGCCTGTCAGAGAAGGCAATGAAAATTTCCAGTCCCCGCTTTGCAGTTTTTTTGCCACTGAATCCCAGGACATTGGGGGTCAGGTTTCGATAAGACCTCATCCCCAGACAAGTGATCACCCTGAGCCCCATAAATCACTGAACTATAATTGACCTCATGGAGGGATGATGACTGACACCTATGTCATGGCCAGCTCATCACCGCCCACTGAAGAATGGTCTTGGCATTTTCCAGATCATGTTAAAGATTTGTTAAAGCAGAGGTAGAGCCAGAATAGCCTCTGTATTAAATTTACTGTCCCTAGTGCATGATAATAAACGTACTCTTGAGTCCATGCAACTTTGAGCTTTAACACAGGTTTAATTTAATATTTCTGTAGGTTTTAATGTAGCACCTTGATTAATAAGAGTGACTTCTTGTTTTTGAAAATGATTGATTTGCTTTTAAAATCACCCTGGTGGGAAAAAGGGCTCTAAAAGAAATTAGACTTGGATTAGAAAGCACTCAGCCTCGTAACTTTATGGCCAGACCAGTGGAAGACAACCATTTTCCAGCCTGGTCCTTCATCCAGGTTTGCAAGATACAAAGCTGGACACTACCCTTGCTTTTACTGTTGCTCAGGAGGTTCTTTCTACCTGGAAGGAGAGTCCCTTTTCACCCAACTGAAAGTGTTCCCTTTTCAGGTGATTTAGTGTGTAGAGAAGAACATAAAGTATAATATCATGGACTACCTCAGGGTTGAAAAGATGGGCAAAGTAAAGTGTGATAAAGGCAAAAGACTCTTTACAAATAAGTAGACACCTTGATGGGCCTGAAAAATGGATCTCCAAGGCTATTCATAAGGCAAGTGGATGCTCCATTCTCTGGCTTTGGAGCTCTCTATGAAGAGAGAGTTTTATAGGAAGTGCCCAGCAAAGAGAATTGGAAGGAGGTTTGTTTTGTCTTTGGATAAAATGGGCTTGGTATCTTTAGATCCTTTTCAGTTGCAAGTGATAAAAAAAAATCCAACCCAAACTCACTTAAGCAGAAGTGAGGATTATTGGTTCATGTACAAGAGAAGCCCAGGGACACAGTTGGCATCAGGGGCTGCCCATGCTGACTGTCTTGGACCAGATGGGACCTCCCAACCCTGGAGCTGGGGCTAGGTCAGCTACTCCTAGACCACACTGAGAGTGGAGGAAGGGCTGAATTCCCCAAGAAAAACAAGGAAACCTAGGGAGACACACACACAAAATTGCCCATTGCAGTTGTATTTTTCCACAAAATTTGAACTGACTTTGGGCAGGTGTTGGCAGTAGGGCTTAGCAAGTGGGGAGATGGGACAAAGCCTAGGGAGCTTAAGAGGAAACAGTGCACAGAAGAAATGAATGATGAGCTAAAGAAGCTACCTGGAAGTAAGGAGATGGCTGCTCTTTTCATTGAATAGTTACTGGATTCTAAACATTTTACAAGACATCATCTCAATCTTCAGGGTGATCTCATGAGGTATGAACTCATTTTGGCCTGTTGCACCAATGAGGAAGCAGAACCAGGAAGGTCCATGGATTCGTCCATGGTCTCTTTGTCATTAAGTAGCACAATCAGGGCTCACACCTGGGGCTGTTGAGAGCGGAGTTTGTGCTCATTCCCATCCAGCTGCCCTGCACACCAGGAGGAGTCTGGTAGTGAAAACCCCATGCTCCTGATCAGGGATTCAACTGGGGGCTGCTGAAATAGCTGGTCCTGAAGTCCCTTTTGGTTCTGAGTTTACGATGTAGGGGAATATGGATGATCTAGATTGGGATGGTGGCTAAACTGAGAATACTTTCTGGAAGCACCCCCATTGAGGGGACTTAGGGGGTGTCTAGGAGGAGGAGCATCCAGGGCCAGGAAATGGCCCTCTGTGATGGTCCAAAGAAGGCAACCTCTAGCAGATCTCTTCATTATAAGAGGTATCATCACATAACAGGAAGACCTTCAAAGTGAGTCTGCTCTTAATTTTTTGCCAATAAAAAGTACAATTTTTACTGGAGACAGAGACCTTGGCTTGCCAGACTCTGTCTCTGAATGCTTGGGAGTAAATAGTGAAGGCCAAAGGATGACATCTCCATCCTGGTTCTGCAGGGAATGGAGAAACAGGCCAGGACTTCCTAGTACTAGGCACAAAACTGGGGTATTTTTATGTGATGTTTTTACAGTGACTGTCATAACAGCCAATATCCTTAAAACTTACTGGGAGTAATCATAGTTTTATTTCATCCCTGTAAAATCTTCCATTTAGAGCAGCATATATTATTCTGTAAATCTCCATATAAATGCTACTCATCCATTTTTCACATGGGCCAAGGAGTAGCTTTAGCTGATCACATTTTGACTTTATTTACTGAAACAGTCCTCCTAACTTAGAGAATATTTAATTCAGTACAAACCAATTCCACTCGGCCAAATTGTATTGAGCCAGCTATGAGCCTCATACTATTCTAGGCTAAGGGATCTGAAGTTAAATAAGACAGGGCAAGTTCCCACCTTTGAGGATCTTTCAGTTAACTATTGCTGCATAACAACTACCCCAAAAAGTAGTGGCTTAAACAACCATTTAATTGTCTGCACCAGGAACCTGGGAAGGGCTCAGCCAGGTAGTTCGTCTGTGATGTATGTGGTGTCAGGTGGGGTGGCTGGGGCTGGAGGACCCATTCCCGAGATGGCTTCTTACTCATATACTTGGTGCCTTGATATGTTTCGATCCCCCTCTTTCTATATGGCATCTCATCTTCTAAGGCCTCTCCATATGACCTGGGCTTCTTACAGCATGGAGGTATCAGGGTAATGGCTGTTTTTACATGGTGGCTGGCTTCCAAGAGTCAGGAGTTAGAAACTTCCAGGTCAGTTAAAGGCTGCATTCAAAACTGACAGTGTTACTTTCATCGTTGGCCAAGGCAGTCACAGGGCTGCCCACTTTCAAGAGAGTGGGAAGAATCCCATCCCTTGATGGGAGAGTAACAAGGTCACCGAGCCAAAAAGCATGTGTAAAGGGATAAATTATTTACCTCTTTGGAAGAATGCAGTTGGTCACAAAGGACATCCAGATGTGCAGTTTAGTAACGTATAATGCAGGGTGGTACCCACAACAATGAAGCACCAGCAAGCTGAAAGAGGAGCCTAGAGATGGAGGAACAGGCTCGCCAGTGGGCTGGGGTGGGGAGAAGGTACAGAAGGCTTCAGGAGAAAGAGCAACCAGGGGTTGAAAGATGGGTTTTGAAAGATGAATAGTTTATGCACTTTAGGGAGAGAGAACTGCGGGTGGGAAGGCATGGTGGTGGGGTCCTCATGGAGGCTTTACCCAGAAAGTCTCCCCATACTGCACTACTTGTATTTATATATATTAATGTGTGTGTGTATGTGTGGGTGTGTGTATGTATGGATGTGGGTATCTACACATATGTGTGTATTTACATATGTATATAGAAATTATATACATATATGTATATACCCATATCTACACACACACACACACACACACACACACATATTTTTTTAATAGAGACTTCCATTCAATCTTTCATTCAGTAAATATGTCCTGAGCACCTATTGTATATGCCAGAAAGTATTCTAGGTGCTGAAGATGTGATGGTGAAGAAAGCAGAAGCAGTCAAAAGAGGCCTGTTCATGCCTGGTCCAGTGGCTCATGCCTCTTATCCCAGGCTGAGGATAAGAGGAGCACTTGAGCCCAGGAGTTGGAGACCCGCCTGGGCAACATAGTGAGACCCTGTCTCTACAAAGAAAATTTAAAAATTATGCCAACGTGATGGTGTGCCCCTCCCCTGTGGTCCCCACTACTCGGGAGGCTGAGATGGAAGGATTTCTTGAGCCTGAGAGGTTGAGGGTGCAGTAAGCCTTGACCGTGCCCCTGCACTTCAGCTTGGGAGACAGAGTAAGACCCTGTCTCAAAAAAAAAAAAAAAAAGACCTGTTCATGGTCCCATGTTCTGTGATGGAGTCCAGCAATAAACATTGAAATATGGAATGTGATTTCAGGTAGTACCAAGCGATAAGGCAGGGCTTAGCCAGGGATGCTATTTTAGACAGGGCACCTGGGAAAGCCTCCCTTGGGAGGTGACACTTGAGCAGCAGTGAGGGGGGCCCTGGGCAGAGTTCCAGGCAAAGGAATCAGCTTGTGAGAGGACCTTGAGCATGAGCATATTTGAACCGTCTTGGCACTTAGCTTCCATCTTGCACTGTGGTTCTCTCTGTACCTGTAAACCTGCCTTGTCACTTTGAAGGCTTTCTGAGGTCACACAGTTAGAGCTCAGTGCCCTCTACTCAGTCTTAGCCACAGAGGAGGGCAGCTGCAGGTGGTGGGTGGTCAGCCTCCATGCCTTGAGCTCTGGGGAGGTGGCTTCTCAGGGTAAGCAGCCTGTTCTGTCCTGATACCTCACCTCCTGCTGTTCCTGGCACTGGGAGATTTGTTTTCACTTAGGGAGAGCCTGGCCTCATCTACATAATTGTTCTCTGGAAACTGGCTCTTTCCCAAGAGGAGGAATATGGGGCGGTGTTATCACAGTGAGCAATTTCTCCAATAAGGAAGTGTGCTAGGATTCCAGACGGGGAATGATGACTCAGAGTAAGGTGTGTAACAGGTTCTCCAGCTGCCTCATTCACTTATTCATTCACTCTCCAAACATGGATTGAGCATGCAGATGGAAAGGTAGAAGTTCAAATTCAGCTCTGCCGTGTGCTAGCTGTGTACCTCAGCAGGTTATTTAACCTCTCCAAGTCTTTGCTTCTTCAGCTAAAAAATGGGTATAAGTCATTTTTCAGAGTTACGAGGATTTGATGAGAAGTCTTGGAGCTAGGATTGCCAGATTTAGCAAATAAAGACAGAACAGCAATTAAATTTGAATGTCAGATAAATTATGAATTTTTTTATTTAGTATGTGCCAAGTATTGCATGTTTATCTGATATTCAACTTTAACTGTGCATCCTATATTTTAACTGCAACTCTACTCAGGGATGACGATTAATTAAAAAAAAAACAAACAAAAACGCCTTTCTTGGAGGAGCACAGGCTAATTATACATTGAAGGAAAATTTGACTGATGGCAGAGACACAGAGTGCTGTGGAAACATAGGCATCTCCATGTGAGCTCATGAGAAGAATCCAGAGCCACCTTTGCTGATTTCTAGTAGACTTGTCAAATACCCCCAGTGACTGTGGGATTGATGCTGTGAGCACAAGGTGCTAGCACATTGAGTAATACAGATGGTTTAAGTTTGCTTTTCCATTGAGTAATCTGGGAGGATGAACTCTGTTTTCTTCCCTCTCAAGGCAAAGGGTGACCTTTGCTGTATGGGAAACAGGCAATTAATTATTTCTAATTTTCTATAAGCCATTTAAAAATAAAATGAAACTAATTTAGGGGGAAAAGTCATATTGTTCCCTGACTTTATGTAATGTGCGTTTCTCAGATAAAATGGTAAGAATTCATTATTCTGCTTCCCCAGAGGGCTTATGGGTAAATTTACCATGTGCCACACAGGGATCTAATAGGAGGCACACAATTGGCGTCTCTGGCTTCACACTAAAAACTTCCCAAAGCATCTCTTTGGGTCAAGCACCAAGCATCAAAATGCTGGAGCAGACTGGGGACATTTTTAAAAAGGTGGCATCTGCTGGACACATTCTTGTCATCTCTTGTAAATGAGTGCCCTGGTACTGAACATGGTCTATCAGCATTACTGAAGGGTCTCTGTTCTGTCCCAGAGATGGCAAGGGAATATTTTAGATGGAGAGGGTTGTTTTAAAAACCCCGAAAATCTGTTCTGAGTCTTCTTGGTTGCTTTTAGCCACCTCAAGGAACCAACTCCCCGGTGAGGGTTGAGTTTTCCGTTGTGCCGCAGTGATGGGTGGGAAGGAGTCAGCACTAAGGCCTGCGCTAATCAGATTGGAAAAGGGGAAGAAACGGAGCCTGGGGCTGAGAGGGAGGACAGAAGGGGTCCTACAAGGTTATTAAAGGCATTTATTCAATTACAGGATTTGCAGCAAATTACAGTTGATTAGTGCCAGGCACTGTGCTAAGGGGCTTTTCTTTTCTTTTTTTTTAAATTTCTTTTTATTTTTTTATTGTACTTTAGGTTCTGGGGTACATGTGCATATCATTTCCTACCTTTTCAGGGTGTTTTGCTCCTCATTCCCACCTCATGCAATAGGTATCCGTGTGGCCATTTTACATATTGTAGACCCAGAGGGCTTGAGTGTTTTGTGGGGGCCAGGAGGCCACGTGGCTGGTGAGCAGCCCCAGGTCTTCTGATTGCAAAGCCCTTGAGCCTTACC